TTTTATCTGTGGCAGTCGGTGTAGCTGGCCGGAGATTTACATCTCCTGACACCAAATGGATCACTGCTATCTTCGACAACTTTATATTCTTTTAACCTTTTTTCTTTCTTTATCTTTTTTCACACTAAACAATGCGTCGGTAAACGATAATTAAAAGTGGAGGCTGTAGCGCCTTTTCTAAAGTTTTTTCTTTTTTTCATCTCGGTTGTGGAATCTAATCCAATTGGCTTTACGGACTGACTAATTGATTGGTCGGCTGTTTATTTTTGTTATTTGTGGAGAGATAGTATTGATTTATTTCGAGACTTTAACTTCGGAGAACTGGTACTTTGAACCTGTAGGAGCCTTTTCGAAAGTGGTTTTGAGTATTTTTTGTAATTAATATTGATTACAGATTCCAGATATTGATCTTGAATTTTTGTCTTGAAGATATCTGATTATATTAGGATATTGAAGTTGCGAGTAGAGAAACTGATTGTATTGTATACTGAAAAATGAACGGATATCTAGTATAATAGTTAAAAATGTGTTCCAACACGCCATGAACAAAACAGTTAGAATAAATAAATGGGACACCGCGTGAATTGACCGCTGCCGTTGACTCGCCATTAACGTTCTTAAAATGTCTGCAATTCTTATGGAACCGAATAACTTAAGTTATTTTCCAACAACCTAATATAATGTCATTAGAATTATGCCCCAGTTACAGCGCCCGTAAAGTCACCACTAGTGCGACTATCAATTTCAAGGTTTAGTTTTTCATCTTCGAGTCTGAATATATTGGTCTCAAAGTATGAATTTAGGTCCCGTGGTGGCAGCTTCTGAAAGGACATAGTTCAATCACTATGTAAGATTATTAAAACAATTTGTGTTCACTGCAATAGCAACACAGAAACCCCTGAATGTGTCTGTCAGCTACCACCGAGTGCAAGCTGGAGGTGACTCACGGGTTGAATGCAAAGTTTCCTTTCAATCCAATATTTCTTTTTTAATTTTACAACTTGGAACGTAGTCTTAAGGCGGTATTCTAATCTCAGTGGGCGTGGCAACACTGAACCCCATTTAAATTATATTGAAATAAATGTTTTTGTCGGCAGCCACACTTGAATGAGCTCCACTGGAGTCAGGACTTGCTCACGAGGGTATGCCAGGCATGTGACCTTGTACAGCTCTTTGTGGAATTTTAATTGTTTTCCGAAGTGAATTTTGAAGGCAGGAATTTAAATAAATTGCTTTGATAACATTGGATGAAAATTAAGGTTTAACGAGATCTTACTGAATTTATCATCGAACCAAAAGCATATAGCATTAGGTAATGTTGTTACCATTAATTTGGTAATACTTCTAAATCGCTTCAGATTTGGATCTAGTTATGATGAGCAATAGTCATTCCACTGAGTGATAGTAAGTACATGCACTATAGAAGAAAATATCGAACAAAACGAGTAGTATCGGAAGATACCTTCAAACCAGCCAAGTTAGCAACTTGAAACAAATCCAGAACAAATAAACACAATCAACAACCTCTTTAGCATTATAAACTATAAAGCTAATCCAGATGAATGAGATGGAAAATAAAAAGAGTCCTATACGAGTCTGGCGCCAGAGCAGGACGACAATACATCATTGTATTTATATAATGGTTTGTCTACAAGCGTGTACGATTGTGCTTCAGTCCCAAGTGTTTTTTTATATTTATTTGATCTTATTATTCATAGGTAAGCATTATTGTGTCGCGACCGAGTTCTGGCACCGGCCGGCTGGGGTTGGGGTTCAGCGCGACGACCGTTGAATTAAGTGGATCTCGTTATTATATTGAGGTCTCGCTTCGAAGAGATGAAGTGAGAATTGATTCAAAATCTTGGACCTTTGTACCTCTCAAGTATTTACATGTCGGAATAATTTGAGTTAATCATTATGATCAAGTAAACGTAAGAAAAAGTATTTGTGCGATAAATAAAATCGATATTTTGCAAATAAAGGATTTGGTCTTGTTATTATAAATTCCGAAACGAGTATATCCGAAAGAACGTTATACAGTATATCAATAAAAAGTTATACAGATCCCTTCTCAGTAAAATCGAAATCAAAAAGATTTTTTGTGCGCACCACGATTTTATGTGAGGAATGCGAAGTTTAGGAGATTATACTGTCGGCGGTACAAAGTCGATGCACAGAGGAGCGCCATTGTTGGTACATCACCATCAATGCAAGCACATTCCGCTGTAGGTTTGGAAACTTCAATGTCAATATCTAAATGTTACATAGAAATAATATCAACACACTACAGGCCCTTGTTTAAGAATAATAGCCGAATGATATAATGAGGAAAGTAAAAATTGAGTGAGAGATGATGAATACTTTACAAGTATCACGATATTTACAGAAAACAAGCAATTTTCAACATATCGCCATTTACGAGACAAGTGAACACAACTCCTTTATTTTCGTGAAATAATTCTTTATCTATGTAAACACAGTGTCAGTCACCGTGGGAACAGCGGCCCGTTACTGCTATCTTATCGACGATAGCTTCATTTGGTGAGGCTTTGTCGAGCGATGCCAGTGCCCACTTGATGGCTTAATTGGTCAACTTCCACGTTTTGCCAGTTTTATAAGTCATTCTTGTATGCAACTCTTTTATGTTTTTCGGAGGTTTTGCATGAATTTATCATATTCTCAGAATCATAAAAGATATCCAACTAAAGTATTTTTTGTGAGAGCCAAAGTAATGCTTCAAATTATAATGATGTCCAGCTTCTCAGATAAACAGGAAAATTTATATTATGACCAATCGTAAATTCACTAACAAGAATCAATTATAATCATCGCGTGTTCTAGGTCACATTTTTGTAAGATCCCTACAAGACAAATTGTTTCTAATGACAACGAAATTACGCATTTCAATACGAGGTTAATTGAAAATCATCTGACTTTGTATTCATCCCCATAGTGACGGCTCAGCGGGCTGCGACCTTCACCTTGGCTTTAATACTCTCGTCTAGACTGAACAAGTTCCTACCAAAGGCTCTCTACAAAGATACAAACCTACTTTAAATCGACTACAACGACTGTTTTATTCGAGTACACTCCAATTTCGCAGAACCTAACAAGCAATGTATAAGAAACGACTAAGAAAACTCTTGTTGTTAAGGAAGTTTCTTCTAAGCGTTACCGGTAAGGAGTACTCCAGGGTGCGCTATTAGGACCGCTGTTCTAAGGTGACCTGTTTGAAGGCCACCCTTTATAACACGAAGTTGTTTACTCAGCGGTGTACGCAGTCAATTGGGCAATTGAACAAATACTATTGGAATTTAAGGGGACTTATTTAATTCCTTCCAAGTATTACTGGCACAAGAGTTCTATACAGAGGCAAACTTAACAGGATTGTGGTTGCCTGTTTTTTACTTTAATTGGCATTACAGTATGAAAAGCTTATATTCTCTCGCTTGAAAAGCCTTCAAAGCTAATAGGACGGTGGACGGCTTGTGCCGAATAATACAACACTTAGGTGCTGTGGTGAGCCAGACGAAATGTGCCCCCATTTAAATATTCATTACACAATAACAATCGATAGAAAAAAAACGGAGTCAGCGACAGATGACAGGCAGGCATGTAGCCTCGGACACGTCAAATAGAACAGTGACGGTAACAATATAAGATAAAGTATAAGGGTGTGTTTTTTTCAATGAATATTCTATGCGACGATTAACATAATCGCAGGACAAGCAGTGAACCAGCACGGGCGTGTCACACTTGTAAAGAAACTAATAAAAATGCAAACATCAGTTTTGAAAATTGATAAAATGTTGACAGGAGCAAACTCGATGGAGTTCGGAGTGTTCCGTAGCTACATTTATTATTTAAACTTTCTGTACACTAATATTTCCATAGGTGAGTTCTGAGGACTAATTATAATTATTTTAAATTCATTCATTCATCATTGGTTTATATTTCATTAGTTTTTTAGAAAGCGTTCCATGGATAGCTCTTGGTAGGTCTTATAAAAATATGGGTGTTATAAGTTTTGAAACGTATCCCTAAAACCCGGCCATTACTTAGTAAATTAATGAAAAGATAAATAAAAACTTGTCTTGTGGCGATCCGTTATCTAAATAGATTGTATAATATCTGTAGTACTCTCCATAATCTATAGTTTTTGTAACTGGTCACCCCTCGTGTGTTTCGATATATCGTAATTGATTCTTTATGGCTTTTTAATCGTTTTCAATGCCTTTTTGTTGTTTCACAAACATCAAATAAATGCTTTTTTCTGTTTTATAGCAAGGTTATTGATATTTTTAAATTGTTCGCACAAATTTGTGTTTTCTATATTATATAAGTTTTCATAGCTACCGGTTGCGTATTCCTTCTTCTGTGTCTATTTCTTACTTTTTATTTTTACATGTAGCTGATAATTCCTGGGCTAATTTGCTCCACTTCAATTTTATTTAAATCTGCGGTTTCTTGACGATTATCTTGGCAACAATCAAATAAACCTGACTCAATGGCTTCTTACGTGTTCACATCGGCGCAAGGAATATTCCGCTCATATTTGGGTGGTCCTGATTGCGGGTTGTCGCCCCGGCCACACACCTCACTCCTCGTTACAGGTTCTGTGACCATCTTGTACCCATACCTCCTAACTACAGCTACAGCCTATTTACATTGTTTCAAATGTATATTGCATATTCCTCGCGTTACGTCCATTGATTTATTTTACATTTTAAATCATAGTAGTTTTTTTTTACAAATAATTATTTATTAGTCAATAGTATTTTTGTTAGTATGTTTAAATTGCCTTAAGTCCCCCCTATACAGTATATGTATTAAAAAAGTTTGCATATTACTTATGTGCGAGGTTTTATACAAGTTAATGCCAATTTTTTCTGTCAATAATTGTTACTCTTTGTTTCTGTCAAAGAAAAGTATCTGAATGTCATTCAAACGAAAAAATACGTAATTCGGCTATTATAAATTTTTGTGGTATAACATGAATAATGGATATGAGAGACGACGACAAATCTTTGAAGACTCGCAAAAATCATTCACTCAATCGTTATTATGAATCTAACGCAGGTCATCTGTTTGTCAGTCACATCAACCCATTCGATACAGTTGGAGACCGCGGCAGGGATGTCAAGGAGAGTCTCATTAAAAAACGAAACACTCAAGAATTGATTGCTATTTTTGAAAATAGGTCAGAAAATTGTGATTTAGATAATATGATGGAAGTTAAAAAAATAAAAACTACACCATCTACAGAGATTGTCGATGAAATAATAAAAACTAACCCGTTTACTAAAAACAGATTTATGAGCGACCGCTACTGTGAAACTGACTCCTTATTTATTGAACATCAAAGACCAAACACACGGCCTCCCACTAGTATATCTGCAACCGTGTTGGATGATGAATATGGAGTTTGTTCAAGAAATGGGTTTCAAAGTCCGTATAGCGATAATGAAGACAGGTACGAAGAATTTAATTTAGATAATAATCCATGCACTTGCAGGTGTAACGGAATGGGTAATAAGGTCTTAGAAGAAGAAAAACAGCAATGTGAGAAAACAACGTACTGTCGGCCATTACTAAATATGTATAACCAAGAGTTTATTTATAAAACAATGCAAAGGAATGCGAGGTTACAGAAACTGGTGAAGAAACTAGCGGTTGCGCGGCAGAGAGAAAAAGAAAGGGAAGCCTGGAATAATTATATTAATGATCTGAAAAATAAACACAGGTATTATAGTAATGAGCCGACTAGGATATCACCACAGTACGTACCAGGCGATCGTCATACTCCTGAGATGATAGATGATTTTTATAATACCAGATTTCACTGGCGTCAATCGAATCCCTGTCAGCATTTGCTGAATGACTTTTACAAAAGTCGTAATTATGTGCCACCGAGAACGTGGCACACACACCCCGGCGAGTATGATAATGATATGTTGCCCGATGCCGAATCATTTATATATGATAATAATCGTTTTTGCTATCCAACTTGTTCACAAGCTAACATGAGGAAATGGAACAGAGAACGATTACAAAATAATTTCGGATACGATTGGTACTCGAGACCATCAGGTAGATACTTCCGTGGTAATACTATAGTCATTGAAAAAGATGACGTGGGTATGTTTGATAGACTAGAAGGTACAACTAGACCTCATGCTGCCCTACGTCCTCGTAATAGGAAATCAAAACGAAAACGGTCATTGACACCTGATCAGAAACAAACTGGTTCTCTGCCGCTTGTTGATGAGACTGAATTAAATAATGTAACTGCCACTCCATCACCAGCTGCAATAGATAATCAAAATATATACTATCCATATTCTAAAGAACCAATCAACCCAGGTGCTATAGGTGATCAAAAAGATTCATTTAGTCCTTCTATTAAAGAAGAATCGGAAATTTCCCGAGATACAGAGATTAAACAAGAACCACAGAAGAATAATATGGACCTTAATGTTCATAATAAAGGTAATAAAGAGACGCTAATCAAGAATCAGCAGATAGAAGTATCAAATTTAAGTCAACCGCAACTTTCTTATGTGAATAATAATAATAGTAAGGTGAAAGATGAATTTTCCGATAAAGTAGAAACTTTCAAAAACAATGTAGTACAAAAAGTTAACACTAAATATAAGAAAATATATGACGGAAAGGTGGAGACTGAAGGAGACAAACATGAAAATTTGAAAGACACGTTTAAAAAAGTCACTGAAAATATTTCAAAATTAAGAAACAAATTACGTCAGTCTGAGCAAGATATAAGAATAAAATCTTTATCAACTATCGAAATAAAAGTCGATGGTTTGATGCAATCTATCAATTCTATCATGGAAGACATTAAGAAAAAGAAAAGTTTATTGAAAAGAAATGCCTCAGTAGCAACCTCATTTGTGACCACCCACCAAAAACTAAACAGACAGAAAAGTGATCCTTACGGTATTGTGAAGAATGAGAAATTTTTATGCAGCGTGATGCACAACAGTTCCAGAAGTTTAACGATTTCTGATTTAGACACTAATGATTATCGAAGGCAAAGAGAAGATAACATCTCTAAAATAGATAAAATACTGATAGAGGAGATGAACAAAAGTAATAAAGTCAAGAGAGATATCGAAGAATTGTTAAACCTGCGACTTGATAGGAGCTGCTCGGTGCATATAACATTCGATATTCCGACGAAGGAAAGATCTACTGAAGTTACTGATTCTCTGTCTAAAGCCAGGGTTAGTTCTAGAACGAAGTTCTTAGTAGAAGAGATACAAACGCAATGTGGTGCAGACTGTAGACAAATGACAATAGCAGTGAATACTGATCCTCTGGGATTGTTGGACTTATTAAAGATTTCCACGGATACAATAAAAAGGTTGTTCTCATATGTGCCTTACTTGAGCTACAATTCCTATTTTTCGTTGCTACAACTACCGACCAAGAGGTGCGCGTCGCACTACATTTGCAACATTTGCGGCGCAGTCTTCGGCCGGCCCTCACAGCTTAGTGATCACATTGAACAACATACCATGGGAAGGACAAGGTAATTTCTATTCTTTTCTTTTACGGCTCAATATATACTGAATTTTATTCTTAGTTACTAAAAAAACATTAAAGAAATGTTCTGCTTGTTGAAACAATATATTATATTATTTTCCTTTGTGTCAGGGATTGTTGTGTCTGCCGCCACGCGCTCGACATGCAGCGAGGTCCGGTTGGCCTGTTCGAGTGCCGGTACTGTGGCCAGAGGTTCACCAGGGCCTACTGCCGTGAATTGCATGAGCAGACGTGCGCTCGTCACCTGGGCAGGATCCATGACGTTAACTCTGGCCACATTCTGCTGCGGTAGACAAAGTTATGAAGATATTTTTGACAAAGCTATTTGTAAGTTAAAAGATATAAACAAGTAAAAATACCTTTGAAATTTTGAAGTGGTGTCCCTAATTAACTATGCTCAATTCAACATAGGTATGCTACTGGGACATTAGAAAATCGGTTGAACTGTGCCACTGCTTGTGATGGTCGAATTAGAATTTATCACATAACTATACCTACTTATGTACATACAAGCACCGCGCTCGCATATACTTGCAATCTTGTTACAACAAAACATTGTGAAATAATATGTAATAGTTCTTTTGTATGTATAATCATGTATAATTATTAAATAAATTATGTGTATTACGATACATTTTATTTACAAATAAACCGGACTACTTTGTGGGTATTTTTTGTTAGACACAGTGGGTCGATATCGGCACGGGTGGACAAAATCTTTACTTTTTCGTTATAATTGGACGTAGGGTATGTGAATGCTGTCAATGGTTCTTTTGTGTGTGCCGCAAAGCATCCATCATGGTTGTTTGTACGGGGCTTAGGGACAGCCATTATAGTGAAATGGGCATAAAATTCTGTCGATGCATCACAATGGTGGAAAGCAACATTAAATGTAATTATGTCAGGTTTGAGGTGAAGCGTTATAATGATATTACTGTTGCGAAGGATTCGCCCATTGTGCAGCTACAGCGTTTAACTAAAGATGTTGCAAAATGACAATAAATGACCATTGTATTGTTTGCCCATAAAACTGATTGTCTTAGAAAAAATAGAACAAGTTTTTCCTAACTCAATGATACTTGGATATCTACTCAATGGATTTAAAAATAAATATTTATTTTTAAATACAGCATACACACATTTAGCAGCTTCTTTCCAAGGGTAAAGACAGCCGCCCAAACTGTTGCCAACTATATCCTCAATACCGGATGGTGACAATAAAACTCCTTGTGACAGTTTTCGATTATCTCTTCAAAGGTTTTTTTCGCGATTTCGGACACGGCAGTTTGAATCAGCACTGTTGTCCCACAGCCGAGGTGTAAATTCAATAATAAGGTGAAAATACAATAGGTTTTTGTGCTAGGTTGATGCACGCTCGGCCCACCGGGGCGTCTGGGAGCCCAGCGAGCCTACTAATTTATATACCGTTAAATATTTGCCACGGCTCCGTAAGATCATGTCTGTCTGTTTGTTTAGGTGAAATTGTAAGTATTGTTGCGAATGGACGTGGGAAGGAAGTTGTCATAAAAAATATCTTACGTTTGAATTGATTTCTGAGAAATTGTGCAGTTTCTCTTTTACTGCGCTGCGGTTACTGCTTGATAGCGATGGCTGGTGTTAATTACCTGTCGTCGAATCATTGTCACTGCACTGCGCTGCATAACACCGGTGAGTTGCATTGTCTAAAGCAGAGCACGACGGTGTTGAATTAGATTGTAGTGGAAAATATCTTTCCTCACAATTTCTATGAAATATTAATACGATTTAAAAAAAACATGATAATTATTCATGACGATAATCTGTGGCATAACACAAGATAAAATTACAAAAAGTTCACAATGAACAGACGTGCACCTGCCGTTATCAAACACTAGAAAAACTTGAGTTTATTATTGAGGAGCCAATATTTGTTAATCTAATCACAACCCTCGTGGCACGTGGGGGCAGGCTTATCAATTATTTGACTAATACACGCTCATGTTATCAGTATCATGGTAGGTTTGATTGTAAAAACAAGTAAATAAAAGCTGTGTATTGGCAGTGTTTTTTTATATTTGATGGGGCGACGTTTGACCATTATTACGTTTGACCACTATTTCGTCTGATGGTAAGCGATGATGCGGTCTATATTGTCTGTATCACGTTTAATATATATCATTGTAATAGTAATTTAATATTATAGGCACTGTTTTAAAGGAAACTTTATAAATTTGAAGTAAAATGAACTAAAACAAGCTTATGTTTCTTGATTCAAACCAAAAAATACTACAATATAACACGGTATACATAACGATAATAATCCATTTATTTGTAAGAAAATCGCTGAGACCACTTTGTGAGCGCATTTCAATGATTGTTTATTCTATATCAGCTTTATTATTACACAAATAACAACTGTATGCTAAGATCAAAAAGCTGAATGTCGTTTGGACGCCTCCAAAGATGTATCTTGATAAAGCGGATTATGACGCGTTGTCGGGCAAAGGGTTACTTTTGAATATCTTAATTTTATTTTTGAGCGCCATTTAACCGGTTTTTTTATATTATTGTGTTGTAAGCACCTTATGGTATTGAAATAATTTAAAAAAATAGTTGTTTTTTGTCCACGGTTTTTGATGAGATGGACCATTGTGCAAGTGATCTATTACTTAAGATTGTTGAAGGGTTCTGTGGAAGAGTTCAAATGACTGTTTGGTAGGAATTACTTCTTGGACAAGTTAAAATGTAACCAATGGGTTTTTACTCAATTAGGTTTGGTAGCAATTTGGACAAAACTCTCTGTTTCTTTTAAGGAATAGGAGCAGTCATATTGCCTGATAGTAAGCGATCAGTGCTGCCCATGGCCACCCGAAACACCAGGTGTCTATGTGTGGAACAATATCGCATAAAGGTCAAGAAAGACAGAATAGAATCACTTAGGATGCACAGCTTCATGCTGATTGCGTCATGGTTTGCCCTCAGAATTAAATCTCAATATTTCCATCAATACGGAAACGACATGATTGTCTATAATGGTGCGTGGTTATTATAACATCCGATAGACTGCCGCTATGAATCCAAAAGACATCCTGTTCTACTCAACATCTAGCGATGATGATTCAGAGTATAGGATGGGTAGCCTCTTTAAGATCAACTTAGGCTTTAATATTGCCATGTTTTGACGGTCTTTTATCTGATATTTGTTTTTCACTAATTAATTTTTTTTAGTGGACATTGAAAGAACAACGAAGTTGGCAAATGAGATATTCATGTTTCGTTTAAGGATTTTGCTATGTTGATTTTATTTGGGAAATGGATATACCATTATCTAATCCATAACATATTACGCTTGATGGTGTATGAGTCACCCCGGTTTTAGGTTAAAGTTCACAAGTGCCACATGATTTTCATTCCACATCGGTTTAATAGCTCCATATCCTATATTGTTATAATCTGTGCGTGCGTCGGTGTGTTTGTTGGTGGCGGAAACTAATGCAAATGCCCATGCGCGGGCGCAGCTCGCACGGCGGCACGTCCACGCGCGTGCGCGACGCATCCCGAACGTTGAGGTGCGCAGGAGCTGAAGTGACGTCATGTAGGGGTGGATACTTGAGAAGTAATAATAATAATAATATAATAATATAAGCCTTTATTCAGACAAAGTATTTACATTAAAATAGTTTATAATTGTGACTCTGGTGAGTCGTTGACAACGACAACTTCGTCTGTTTGCCCAGCTTTGGCAAAGGCCTCCTCCATCTCTTTCCACTCTGCTCGGTTTAGCGCTGTTCTAGTCCATGTTTTTCCTCCTATTTTTCTTATATCGTCTTCCCATCTTCTGAACTGTCTGCCTCGTTTTCTTTTTCTATTTCTAGGGTACCAAAACACTATGCTTTTGTTCCATTTTTCAGAGCCTCTTATCGTATGACCTGTCCATTGCCACTTAAGTTTTCGAATTCTGGTCGTTATGTTTTCTATTTTAGTACGATTTCTGATAGTTTGGTTACGTATTTTGTCAGATTTTCGTATATTCAGCATGCTTCGTTCCATTGCTGACTGGCAAGTTTCTAATTTTTTGTTTTGCGCTTTGGTGAGAGCCCAGGTTTGGCACCCATATGTTAGAACTGGTAGGACGCAGGTGTTGTAGAGCTTTGATTTAACAGACATCTTAATTTCTTTGTTTTTCATAATTTCTTTTAGTCGCCTTGAGAAGTAAGACTCATCAAATCATAATCATTATTCAAACCGGTTTCATCCACTGCTGAAAATGTGCCTGTCTCTCCAGCAGCGCGTCACTGAGCTGAGATTTAGATTTGAGCAAGATATGCAATACAAAATGTGGTACCGAGTCTCACCTCAATATCCACATTTTGTACATTTTGCACATTCTGTTTTTCTCAGTGTACTTATAAAAATAGATTGATACATCTGTACTGAACACAGATAAAAGGTAATAAAGAAACATTGGATCTATCAGTCACTGAAGCTTGTTTATGTGTCTATTCAAAATTATTAAAATATTAAAAAAAATATAATTTATTCTAATTTAAGGATAATAGAAATGCAGACAGATACGCGATACTTTAGACTTGTCCTGTTGCCCAAACAATAGACAATTATAGTGGCTGTAGTAATAGCGTATTGTAAATACATTGTTTAAACAAGTGTCGCATGCGCATCTCTCTTCACTAATTTATGTCATATTGTGTTCGATTCATAATGGCTCGCTATAGGATGGGACTGAACGATTTACATATTGACAAAAGTGATATGTTCGATGGTTGAATAATTATTCTCTTTATGTTAACTTACCTTACGAGCATTAGTCGCAGATATTAAGTATAATTTCAGTTTCGCAGCTTTGTCCGATTTTACCCGATTGGAGATCGATACCCGATTTCTTAGAGTAGGTAATATATCAGGAATCCTAATGAAATCATTAATACGGCGGTGGGTAATGCAATCGCGATCGTTTAGCTGTTATCTGGTAAATCTGGCAGTTATATCTGAAGTGGTTGGGGATCTGGGTGACCACCGCTGCACCGGTCCTATCGTGTCGCTCAGATAAGGGTGCTGGCGCCCTGTGGAATCCCACACTGATTTATGTTGACTGGAAGTGTCAGTGATGGTTCTTTTTAAATGTTTACTAGTGTGGTGATTTGGGGAAGGTTTTGGAGATGGAGTGTAAATTTTTCAGTGCATTTTCTAGAGATAATAATATTAGTTTAAGCAAATAATTAATCAATTGAATATGATTCTCGTAGGATGTAGTTGGCTGAATAAAGTTACGCATAAACTGAAATGACATCGGTT